CGAGCGACTTCTGCTGGTCATTAGCCATCATGAACCGATTCAGCTCGTGCCTTCACCACTCGTCCGAGAGGCGATCGCGACGCTCGACGGCCCGCGCTCTGCTCGCCCCCCTCCCCCCCGTCCGCCCGCCAGATGCGCTGCCGCTCCCCGCAGCTGAGCCCTGACCGCCTCCGGCGCGACACTCCTCCTCCCAGCCTCGGTCTCTCAAACAACACGACTCCTCCCAGCCTCGGTCTCTCAAACGACACTCTCCTCCCAGCCTCGGTCTCTCAAACGTCACTACTCTCCCCGTCCGACCGCTGTATTGAAACTCGGCGCTGGGCCCAGCGGCCTGGAAGGCCCAGCCACGGCTGGCCCGAGGGACGGGCCGCTGGGCTGGGTCAAGGACCGCTGGACCAGCGCACGTGACGGGACGCGCGTGGATACGAGGGCTGTGTGAACGCCACAACCGTGCACGGCTCTTAAATTACTCAGTGACATTGTATAAATAGCACACAGGTAGTTTTAATATAAATACTATTCTACAATAAATACACGTACACCTACTCGGAGCGAACAAAGAAGCCATCTAAACACGGCAGTCAGATCTGTTGTTCAGTCAGATCTGCAGCCAGATCTGACTGTCCCACAGGCTGTACGAGGTGAGCTACGACGGGAGCATGTCGAGCGATTTGTTGGCACGGTCGCGATCACTTAGATCCCGTTACGAAGGAGCAGTAGTGTGTGCGTGTGAGGGTGTGGACCAGTTTGTTGTACCCAGTGACACCGGCGGACCATCGCCGGGCGCTGCCTGCATCCTCACACCGCCTGCATTGTGACGCGAACAATGGCGCACGCGGCAGCGAACCCAGCAGCACGCAACCACTGATCCCGGACCTACCAATAAAAGGTGCGAGAAGTATGCGAAACCACCCTCTCGTTGAACCCCTAGGAACAAGCTGCTGGGTGCGCCCCTGCTATCACTTGCCCCTTGGCGGTGACCCGCCTGACTTCCTGATGTCCTCATACCCGCGCTACGTCCGCCTCCAGCGCCGGATTGTCGACGCCGCCACGGAACGCCGCCATCGCTTCGCGCTTCTCCCGTGTCACAGAGTCGTCATCGGTTGCCGTGGCAACGGATCCACAGCAGCAGCGTGATGTCACGGCGCCAACGAACCTATCATAGGGCTCGAGGCTGCGCAGCGGCGCCGGCAAGAACGCCCAGGTGCGGAGCGGTGTCGGCAAGAAGCCCGGGGCACGCCGCTGCAACATGGTTACCGTGGCAACGAACAGCGCGGTTGCCATGGCAACGCCACAGACAGCATATAGTGACCGCGGTCCGGCCATGGACAGTCCGAACACCATAGCCGGCAGCACCATGAACATGCCGATCAAGTAGCCTACGGCGAACCAGCGGTAGCGGGCGGTGATGTTGCCCAAGCCGCGCGCCAGCGGCACGGGCCAGCGCAGCGCCGGCAGCGAGTAGAAGACAAAGATGCCGGTCATGTTGAAGACGAGGTGGACGAGGGGCGATCTGAATGCTGGGGCCGCAGCGTCCTGCCGGAGGCGGCGAGCGCGGCCAGCAGCGCCGTGGTGGTGGTGCCGATGTTGGAGCCCAGGGTGACTTCGTACATGCGATCCAGCGAGATGGCGCCGCAGCCGACCAGCGGCGTCAGCGCCGACGTGAAGACGGAGGACGACTGCACCAGGATGGTCATAGCCGCAGCCGACCAGGATGGCCAGGTAGCCGGTCAGCCAGGAGAAGTGCGGCAGGTCGGCGTTCAGCGTCGTCCGGATCACGGACGCAATGCTGCCTGCCGACGGCAGGGGCGGCGTCAGGCCGGGCAGGGGCGGCTCAGACCGGGCAGGGGCGGCGTCAGGCCAGGCAGGGGCGGCGTCAGGCCGGGCAGGGGTAGGGCAGGCCGGGTACGGGCGGCATCAGGCCAGACAAGGGGGCGTCAGGCCCAGTAGTGGCGGCATCAGACCGGGCAAGGGCGGCATCAGACCGGGCAAGGGCGGAATCAGGCCGGGCAGGGGCGGTGTCAGAAGACATGGCAGCTTATAAAAATGATTGGGAGGCGGGGGCGGAGGAGGGATGAAGAGCACCGTTTTACTCCTTGGGGCCAGCCTTTCCAGTCATCTCCGCAGACGTAGCATGAAAGCAGAAATCATGGGGCACGGTGGGGGGGGGGGGGGGGGAGGGGAAGCACTAATGGCGACATAACTCAGCATTACATGGTCAGCGTGAAGCACGGCACAACTGATGCCAGGAAACTCAGTGGATTTTTCTAGCGGAACAACTGGCTTCAAGACGACAACCTCAGTAATGCTAATGGTCACCCCACCAGATCGTGATAGCGCATCAAGATCCTATGTGGAGGAACTGATCACAAGTAGGAATGTCCGAGCATGGCACTAAGTGCGACGAATCTGGTAAACAAAGTGACTAAAGAAAAGCGCAGGAGCGAAACCCGTCAATGCAGGGTTTGGGTGACATTTCTTACCAGAGCTACAACTCTGGGGCCCTAACATATACCTTTCTGGTCGCAAGTGGAGGCTCTCGGTGATTTTTCCTCTTGGGCCTACAACATCCGGGGTGTAGACTTACACGGTTAACACGTTTAAACGTATAACGCTGTCGACATAGCCACGGCCGTGATGGCTTTCCACCGCCAGGGCGGGCGAGCCTGGCTCACCCACCTTGCAGGAGGGTGTGCAGGATCTTCACCATGAGCACGAGGCAGCCACAGAGCATGACGAGCGCGATCACCAGCAGGATGAGGCCGACGTACAGGTCCGGAATGTCAGTTTGGCTGAACAGGGACGGGCCTGGGGCACGGCAGCGCGTCAGCTGACACTGAACAGAGGCGGGACCAGTCGCACGGACAGACACCAGCTGCCGCTGATCAGGGACGGGGCCGGGCTGACACTGAACAGAGGGGGGACCAGCGCACGGACAGACACCAGCTGCCGCTGGTCAGGGACGAGACCGAGTTGGCACTGAACAGAAGTTGAGTTGAACGGAGCAGAAACCAGATCCGCCTCCAGGGACTTCAGGGACATAGACATCTGGGAGCACAGCGTCACGTCAGCTGATTACGTTCGTTTACTCACAACACATGTCAACTCGCGCCTCTGTAACAGCATGCGGAGTAGTTCGTTCGTGTCACCTCCCAGCTCTACTTTATCTGGGGTGTCCATTTACGCCCTTCAGCGGCAAGTGAGGTGTTCCGGTGATATGATTTCCAACAGCTACGCCTGTGGGCGTCAACTTGCACTCGTTTAGTCGCAAGTGAAAACTTTTGGGAATTTTTCATTCAGTAGCTACAATATCCGGGAAGTTGACAAAAGCCTTTCCAGCGGCAAGAGGAATGATGCGGTGACATTGTCACCCAGAGCTACACCCCCAGGGCGTGAACTTACACCGTTCCAGCGGCAAGTGGAGAGTTTCGGTGACATTGTCTCCCAGGTCGCGGATCTCGGTGCCGAACTTGCAGAAATGCTTCACCAACGACGCGTTGTAGTACTCCGTGTTGTTCAGGGCCCATTCACTCAGAACTTTTTTGTCAGTCTGCGAGAGAATGTCATGCGATCAATACGACATAAAGCTGGCTAGCTGAAATGCCCCCAGTTTTGTGTTCAAGCAGCACGCAAAGGTATATGTCACTTGATCTACCCGACGACGTCAAGATCGATGGCCTTGTCGACTTCACACTTCAAGAACAAGGAGTGGGACTTGCAACACGCGGTCCAGCCAGTCAGAAAGCCCAGCCAAGAATGGTGAGTCACAGAAGGCACTCTGTGCCTTCGACCTGAGAATTCTGTTGAGCCAAAACTGGAAGACGGTGCCCAGAAAATTTACACTTGTTTCTTTTCACTGATCTTGCTTGCTATCTGGTCATACTCAAAGGAAAAGCGATATTTCAACAAAAACTTGCATCGATTTTGTTTAACAAGAGACAATGTTTTCATGAAAATCTTGCACTTTACAGCTACGTACTAGCAAATTCCATTTCTCATGTCTTATCAGGTACTTAGTGAGCAAGTGCAGCGATCATAGAAGAATAAAAATTCACAGAGAATAGAATTCACATATATTTTCAAAGAATTGTTGCACAAAATGCTTTGTTCAATCTATGATTTTTGAAAATCGAATGGAAATTTTTGGTTTTTATATTCTATGAACTCTTCCCAGAATAGTTTCTCTTTTGATGACGCACATAGCCCGTGAGGGAACTGGCGTCACAGCTCTTCTGGCTTGCTCAGACAAGCGCGTCGATCAAATCAGCTGGCTGCGATCCTGTTGCACTGCGGCCAGGAGGCCTGCCGTCAGGGCCATCCGCCCGGCCCGCTGCGGCGTCATCCGTCACAGGCCTGCGGCGTCATCCTCACCTTGATGATGAGCGACGTGAAGGGCGTGGTGATCACCTTCAGCAGCTTCATCTTGGTTCCCTTCGACGTCTCCAGGTTGATGGAGTTGAGGATGGTGTCGGTCGTGTACTCCAAGTAGCCTGAGGGGGCGGCGTGTTAGACGACAGGCCACAGGTCTGCGACCTCCAGACCCCCCACCCCCCCACCGAAGAGATCGGTGTTATAATACGAGGTCTGTCTGTACTCCGGGCTCACCGGCGTTCGGTGCCGATACTGTTGGCTTACGAGGGCACATGATCCCGGGAAGGGAATAAGGTGATGATGATAAGCGACACCACCCCGTGAAAGGAGTGAACAACAAGAACAAAAGAACAGGCAAGAACGACACCGTACCGTGTCATCGGGCAGCTTCTGACAGTCGAAAAGCTGTAAAAACGACATCTGACCCGTCACCGTCCGTCACGCTCAGTACTTATCCATTGACCTGCCAGGTATGGTGGGCCTTGTGGTGACCTGCTGGTCTACCCCCGGTGGGTCTGGTAATTACCCGAAATGAGCCGAAAAAGAGGAAATGTGTACTTTTATCGCCTGGGATGTAAGAGCAAAAGCAAGAGCAAGAGCAAGAGCAAGAGCAAGAGCAAGAGCAAGAGCAAGAGCAAGAGCAAGAGCAACAGCGAGAGAAAAAGAGAGAGGAAGAGAGAGAGAGAGAGAGAGAGAGAGAGAGAGACAGAGAGAGAGAGAGAGAGAGAGAGAGAGAGAGAGAGAGAGAGAGAGAGAGAGAGAGAGAGAGAGAGAGAGAGAGAGAGAGAGAGAGAGAGAGAGAGAGAGAGAGAGAGAGAGAGAGAGAGAGAGAGGAGAGAGAGAGAGAGAGAGAGAGAGAGAGAGAGAGAGAGAGAGAGAGAGAGAGAGAGAGAGAGAGAGAGAGAGAGAGAGAGGAGAGAGAGAGAGAGAGAGAGAGAGAGAGAGAGAGAGAGAGAGAGAGAGAGAGAGAGAGAGAGAGAGAGAGAGAGAGAGAGAGAGAGAGAGAGAGAGAGGAGAGAGAGAGAGAGAGAGAGAGAGAGAGAGAGAGAGAGAGAGAGAGAGAGAGAGAGAGAGAGAGAGAGAGAGAGAGAGAAAGAGGAGAGGGAGAGAGGAAGAGGTAACGTCAGACCGCCACCGCCGTCACCACCACCGCCTCCACCACCCGCTCACCTTGTCCGGAGGGGGTCAGCGCCTGGGTCAGCACCTCCAGCGGCAGCAGCAGTAGCACGTTCAGCCAGTTGAACATGTCGTGCACGGTGGCGCCACCGAACGCGCGCCGAAACTCGTTACGGTCGGACACCTGGCGGTGACCCGGTGAACTTGGAGAGGCACGTGTTTTCATTCAAAGCAATTTCGTTGAGCATTTTGTAAGAACAGCCTTGGTGTCTCAGCAAAGTTCGGTACCAAATTATGACTCCATCGTGCCAGTAGGGCAGTTCCAGTTCCAAAGGAAACTTCCAAAAAGGAACAAAAGGAAACCAAAGGAAACAGTTCCAGTTCCAAACAAAACCAGAGTCATAAGGCCAATGGACGGGGTTGCGCAGCGGAGGAAGAGACCCTCTAGCCTGGCAGACCTTGAGTTTGATAGCCCAGGAAGCGAGCGATGAGCCTAGCAACCGCAAACTTCCGGCACCTCCAGCTGACGCCAGCTGATCCCTTCCGGCTCCTCCAGCTGACGCCAGCTGATCCCTTCCGGCACCCAGCTGACGCCAGCTGGTCCCTTCCGCCGATCATCGGTGTTTTTGTTTGTTTTGCTTATGTCTGTGCGTGAGCCCTACGCGATAGCCCAGTGTGTGATTAGAAACGCAACCTTAGCGTTCCTCCAGATTGTATTTGCATGCATGCCTGCCCCAGACCATCAGCCCGTGTGGAGTCTCGCCAGCACCGCAGGCGTGCCATTGAATCAAGCCGACGGCAAATGCGGCTTGCGTAAACGCGCAAAAGCGAACCGTATGCGCCATTAACCGGGAGTAGCGGGCATGGAACGCATTGCGGGACGTAGGTGATGAGCGCTTGATCGCTAGTGATCACTAGTGCACCACTAGTGCAGGACCCACTCGCTCAACACATCAGCAACGCCCACGCTTGGAATTTGTCTTCCTTCCGCCCTGATATTCCCTTTTAGGGAATATCCTGATATCATCATCACGCCCTGATATCACCATCACGTCCTGAAATTCCCATTACTGACATTGCATCATTGCGTTGAAGCTCCCTGTTACGCTGCGTTTGATATGAGAAAAGGGCGGCGTTCAAATGCCGCAGAAGAAGACGAAGCCGAAGCCACTGCTGAAACACGGGGCCTCGATATTTTAAAAGCAGAACATATCACAGGAGCTGACTTCAGTAGCGACGCATATGACTGCATTCAGAATATTCGTGCGCGGCCCCACACGGGTGTAGGTGTGAGGCCGCATTCAGACGAGCGCGACAGGCTTCATGAAAAACAAACGATGTTGAACAATCGCCATCAGAGACGCGCAATGGAGCATATCAATTACTCCCGTTGTTCTTTGAGGGTACTGACCTGCGTAAGGGACACCAGCGTGTTGGTGATGCTGGT